TACAAATATCCAATTTTAATATTTAATAACTCTTTAAAAAGCTAAAATCTTAAGCTTTAAAATGATATAAAAAAATATATCAAACTTAACTAATATTTACAGAAATTGCCAACTTATGAATTTTGAGTATGATAAGATAGTTAACACTTAAAATGTGATTTTTCTGAATAAAAAATAAGAGAAACTCTAGGACAATTCAAATCTATAGCTTATAATTTTATATAAAATATAAAGAGTTTGGCCAAATTACAATTACTATTCAAAGTGATAGACTATTAATATTAAATGATAGAGATATCTAAAGAATAATTAATATTATAAAAGATAACTAGTAATAATCAGTTAATGAAATTACTAAAAAATTTAATACTGTTTGGAAATTTTAATTAGTTCTAAAATTATATATTATAATCTTCATAAAAGTGAATTATTTGGCTAAGAAAATCTTTTATATCTGAGAAAAATCATCATAAAATAATTAAAATAGTGTCTAGAATAAAAAATTAGATTCTTGAATAGGAATTAATAATTTGAAATAATGATCAAGATATTTAATATTTAAAAATAATTCAGAATAATAAATTTGATATTAACTAAAGATAACTCCTTAACTAGTTACAGCTTACAGTAGCTAATTAAAGAATTGTGATAGAGTTATGATAGCTAATTAAAGAATTATGATAGAGTTATAGCTAGTTGTAGCTTCTATCACTAGTATTAACTTTATAAAAAATATGATATGATTATTTTCTTTCTAGTATAAAATTAGATAATCAAGAAGTAGTAATATAGGGATATTTAAATATACTTGAATTATTAATTGAAGTTAATGATATAATAACTAACTAGAATTGCTTGAACAGCATCTTTAACTATTTTTAGATAAATTATTAGCTAGTTCTATTTATCTTTTTCAAAATAATAATGTACCAGTTCACAAAAATTATTATATTAATAAATAGAGAAAGAAATTTAATAGCTTTATTTCTATAATCTATTTAGAGTTCTGATCCAAATCCAATTGAGCATTTATTAGATATTTTGAAAAGATGAATTTATGTATAACCAATACATTTCAAAAATTCAGAAGAATTAATAGATATATTCATAAAGGAATGAAATGAAATTGAATTGAAAATTTTAAAAAATTTAATTGAAAGTATGCTGAGAAGAGTGCAAGTTGTAATTGATATAAATAGATATTCAATTCAATATTAAATATATATATGAATAGTTTCACTTTGTTAAATAATATAATATATTTTTTATTATAATTTATTTAAAGAGAAGTTAAAAAATATTAATTAAAAGTCATATTAAAATTTGTGATTTATATTACTAATCCAGTGAGAATATACTTTCTGATCAAAAGTATCTAATCACTTTAAAACTGGATAAAAATGCATAAACTTTAACAATTAATTTTTTGATAATTTATAAACAAATATTATGAAAAATTTATATCATTCTATTTAGAAAAATATAAATTTTATTAATATTTAGTTGGATTTTCATAACTATCTAATACTGCTTGAATTCTTCTTAACAAACTTTTAATTAAATTTGTTAAAATTTCAAGCTCAATTTTATTTCATTCCTTTCTCAAAACTATCATTAATTTCACAATATTTTTTGGATGAGATCTATATTTCTAATCCTTCTTTCCAAAATATCTCATAAATATTTAATTAGATTAAAATTTGGACTCTATACAGATTATAGAAGACTTAATATCAAATTATTCTCTTGTCATTAATTAATCATTCTTGCCTTATATATTGAAATATTATTATCTTGAAAAATATATTATAAATTATTTTTTAAATTATTATAAAAGGATAAAAAAGTATTTTTAATATGTCTATATATAGAGAACCTGTTATTTTATCTGAAACTTGAATTAAAGGACTAATTTTATCTTTTGCAAAATATTTTTATATCATAACTCCTTGATTTTCAGATTTTACAGCTGGAATTAAGTAACTCACATCATATTTTTTATGTGATCTATACCAAATCCAATAATATATATTATTTTGAAATAACATAAAGTAAGATTCATCACTTCAAATAATAGAATTTCATTTATTATTTTAATTTCTTCTTTTATGGCACCATTCTAGTCTTTTTTTATGATTTTGTTTAGAAATAAATGATTTCTTTCCAGCTTATCCATAAAATCTCAATATATAAAGTATACTTTATAATACTAGAAGATACTGAAATTGATAAAGACTCACTAAATTTTTTGTCATTTCCTCTAGTAATTGTTACTAATCTTCCTTAACTAATTTTACAAGACTTTTAATTTCTCTTTTTATGAGTTTTGATGATCTTCCTGAAAGTGGAGCATGTATAATATTTTTATATTTTGTTATAGTATCATGAATAGTGGTTTTAAAATATCCAAGAATTTCTCCTTTCCAGAGACCTATAATCTCTTCTCATTTAGTAAGTTCACATCTTTTGAATATTGTAAAAGAAAAAAAAATTTTATTTTCAGGTAGCTGAAGTCAAGAGCTGCATGGAAAAAATTTTTATTTTATTTATGCTTAATAGTTTTGGCGTAATCTTATTTTAAAAGATAATGGTCTGTAATCTTAAATCAGGTGGTCAGAGACTTTTGACCGGGGAGTGTACATGTAGAATATGTAACTACAGAAACAAACATCAGTTTATACTGTATGTATCAAACGAAACAAAATGAAGGCAAAATTATTAAATACATATATGACACAACTATACACAGTAATATTTATTAATATTTAGGTTCTATATTGCATGTTTTAAAGAAGGTAAATTTATATTGATATTAAATATTTCTTTTGGTGATAAAAACAGATTTCGATATTAATATACCACACGAAATTGAAGATAATGAGCACTTGCAAAAAAATTTAAACCACCAAAGCAAAAAATAGAGACCATTAAGTAGCTTTAGAACAATATTCTGTTCTATCAAAAGAAATTGGTATCTGTTTTTTACTTTGATGCTATAAAAATTTTAATTCGTTAGTTGCATGTTGTCTAATATGCCTTTTTATTTATCATCACCGCTTAGAACAAACAGGGTATGCTAATGTTAACCACTGATGTTGTATTATTGCATATATTTTAGTAAAATTTATACATTATAGAGCTATTAAAAATGTTACATAAGAATATATTGTAAAAGACTATTAAAATGTATAATACCATGGAATGCATCTGATTTATTAGTGGTATTTTCAGGATATAACATGTAAAACTAAATACGTATACTCATCAACCTAATACACTGTAAAGCCTGGGTTAAAAAAACGACTCGGCGAAAGTCAAACTTTGTATTAACATTAACGTTAATACATCTTTTGCATAATCCATCGCTATCGAATATTCATTTGTAACTGAGTTTTTAGTTGTTCCATATTAATCAATATCAATATAACTAATACCATTATGGCACTTAAGAGCACTCAGAATCTATGTTTGAAAAATCTGACTGTATTAGAAAAAAAACCAATTTTCACTTTTGAAAATGTTCATTTTTTACCTCGTGTACAAAAACTTTGGGGGGGAATTTGCTTTGAGTTGTGTAATGGTTCAACATAATTTTTCTTTCTTCATACCAGGTTGCTTTATAAATTGATCCAAACATCCTTTTGTAAGATATTCAACGTTGGTAAACCTTTAGAAGGAATCCATTCAAATAATCCTTTTTTTATTAAATTTGTTGCTACCTTTATCTCTGCTAGACAATTCATCATTATAAATTCGTTTGTGATATTTGAAACACTTTTACTACAATCATGAGTATTGTGAACTAAACAGTATCTTTTCTTTTGACAATTCTTCCATTTCCTATAATGACTAGTACACTTATTTGAGCTCACTGGATAAAATGCGTGAATGATTGAAATGATATGTAGCATGCAATTACTTTTCGTTAAATTTATCCTCGATTTCGTGTGGTATAATTATAATTTTCATAATTTCTTTAATTCTTTGATTTCTTTGATGACACCTGTATCAGTTGGGATTGATATTAATTTCAGAAGTAAACATTCGACCAGTGCAAACCGCATTTTTTGTCTTTATTCGTAGATGCTCTCTTGTAAATTTTTAGTTATTCTTTTTAACCTCAGAATAAATTTGCAACATTATAATTTCGTACATGAACTTTTCAAAGCTATAAATATATCTGCGCGTTAGCACCTCTTGACTCCTATAAGAAGTACTCCACGAATTTCTTGGAGATTTTTCTATTTTTGTTAGAATCAGCTACATTTGCGGTGTGAAAGTCACAATACACAAACTTTTCTCTGTGAATTATTTTCCCAAGTACATGTAATATAGTAAAACTTCTATTTATATACGGCTTATGAACATGTTAAAATATTGTATTGCTATTAAACGCCAAATTTTCAAATATCTTAAAATCTATAAGAGTTGTATTTGTCTTAATTATTTTAAACTAAAAGAAAATCTCGCAGAACGAATATTGTCTAAAATTTCTAAGCTGCTTTAGTTAAAGTGACTTCTATTAATCACTTAAAGCGAACACGAACAGAAATTTGAAATCACAATCTAGCTTTCTGCTAAATATTAGAATCAATTTAATTTGATCAATTTAAGTTGTGTTATCCAACAATTATAGTTTAAGAGATAAATCATAACGATAAGACGTGTTGCTTTAAAAATTATATCAAGATGATAGCCTGGCTAAAAAGGCTATTAAAGCAGGCTCATGTATAGTTTTCAAAAATTTCAATTTAGTATTCGGTTCGTGCACATAGGCGAGATAACACGTCACCTGATCACTGGGTTTACATCCCAAAGTCGAAGTGTATCCGTTCGAACCCATTTACTCTAATTTATATAGTCTCCGATAGACACTAGAAACGGGTTCGAGACAAGAAATAAGCGTGCAGCACCATATCCAGTAGCCTTACTAATATATCTGCTCAAATTTAACATATAATCATAAATAACATGGCTAGATCCTTATTGCATTATCAGATTTAATCAAAGATAAGCATCTCGAGCATAGAGATAGTATCTGTTGATATATCCCAGAATAACTTTGTACCATGATTAGTTTTTTCTGGTTTCAGAAGCTTCATATCTTCATCATTTGTCCAAAAATATTTTTTCTTATCATCAGGAATATTTCTGCCATTTTGAAAATATTCTCTGACCATTTGCAAGTTGCAGCCGGTCATGTGAACAATTTGCATGACTTCTTTACAATCAACCAAGAATTCAGCAGCAATTGACGTCTGCGAGGAGCTGTGTTCCATATTTGCTATTGGAAATTTTTTCAAGATCGGAGAAATCAATAATAGAAAAATTTTAAAAGTATATAATAGAATTTTTAGTTCTATTCAATTTATTTTATTAAATATAATTAATATAGAATTGGTACACTATATACAGTGCGTTACAAAAAATACCATAATTTTTAATTTTTTCCATAAATATTTATTTAAATAATATAAAAATTTAAACATATATACTTAAAAGCATGATAAACAACTTTATTTAAGACTACTTAAATACTTAGCTTATTAAAATTTTTTATAATTTATATTTTTAAAATTAAGA